TAAATTAATAAATTAAATTAAATTAAATTAAATAAATAAATAAATAAGTAAGTAAATAAATAAATAAAATAAGTAAGTAAATAAATAAATAAAATACAAACAAATAAATAAATAATTAAATACAATGTTTCTGTTGTTTCCTCGGTTGTTCTGTGGTAAAGAACTCTGTCATATACCACTCTCCTGTTTCACGATGTTGCACAAGATCACAGGGTCTCTACGCTCCAAACGCGCATCAGATTACGGTGCAATTTTCCTTTTTTGTGTCTTTTGAAAGGAGGGGATTGTTCATTGTTTTGACAGACAAAGCATACCTAGTAAGTTCAGGAGAGGAGAGCAACAATTAAACAACTTGAAAAATATATAAAAAGACGCACTCAAACCCTCAAAAGATTTGACATAAGTGTGGCTCTCTTCAGCCAGCTCTTGTACTGGAATATATGTATAATATTAATATTAGCCTACATATTATAATTATTTACATTTTTTATGTTAATATTGATGTTAATAATACTACAGTATATAATATGGATAATGTCAGGGTTAAGCGGGGCATACACGCTGCGATTTCAGCAATGTTTTTGTTAAAGACCAACTCTCACTGTACAAATAAATCGCATGCGATGTAAAGACAAAGCTCAGGATGTATGTGCTCACATCAATCGTCGAGTGAAAGTTTGTTAAGACACAATGTCTAAAAGGGCATTTAAATATCTTTAATAGTTATAGGCATGCAAACTTTGGAGGAAAAAACTATCAAAGTGCTCTTTCCACCATTGGCACATAATGCAGATCAATGTCAACAGATTTTAACAGACCTACCAATCTCTGTGTAAAAATAAAAGAAAGATGCTGCCATCTTTCTGAAGTCATTTCTACAGCACTGTAATTTGGCTCTGAATCTCAGGTGAAAATTGCCATTTTGACTCGCCTGTACAAAACAGTGGATTACTCAGTAAATAATAATCTATGACATTTAATATTTTGGCTTTCATCACTATACATGTTTATCTTTCTTCAGAAAAATATTAGCAAAATCAAAAATTTAAGCCAAGGACCTCTGGTTGAGTTGACACGGAATAACCCATTTAATATTTGTTTATATATATATAATAGTAATATAATATGCAAACGTTATAAAGTACTGCAATATTTCAGGACTGGGTGGTGGCAAAGATAAAAAAAAAAGTTAAAGACATGCTTAAATGCACCAGATGCTTTGGACAAAATTTGTTTTAAATATAAAATTATTACTCATCGCTGTAAACCATGTGTATCGTTCTTCCGCATGCAACACCAAGACCACAAGACAGCTGCTGGTTTGCTGTGCGGCATGTGACAGATCCATCTGCCTGCATACCGTCCCAGCAGGACAAGAGCTGTACCCCTCCACAACCACAGCCTCACCCAGTTACCCCTCTTCCCTCTCCACCCCATCCTCCTCTATCCAGCATTATTAGCAGCGTCATCTTTTTGTGGCAGATTTAAAGTGACGGTAGATTTAAACCACTTTAGTGTGGGAGAGAGTAGAGATGAGGGAGATACTTATTTTTCACAATTCCCTCTAATTTAGGAACCATAGGAACAGTGAAAACAATTCAAAACAGGCAATTCAAGCCATTTAGCAACATGGTCTTGGCAACCAACCAGCAAAACCAGAAAAGTTATGAACAGGCAAGCAACACCTACAAAAATCTGCTTAAATTATGTAATTTTATTTTTACCATCGTCACTGTCCCAGTTACAGCACTACTGAACATGGCCTTGGCCATCACCCAGTTTC